GATATTTATATAGTTACAAATGTAATTCCAAAAACCTAATAAAGTACTAGCATGACTGCTTATATGTTAAAAAAAAACAAAATAAAATAAAATATATATATAGATTATTTGTTATATAATTTACATATTAAATTTAGATTTATATAACAAATAAAAATATATTATGCCTCACTGTTAATATTTAAATATATATATATATATATATTATTAATAAATTTTTATAATATATAGATTTATTTATTATAATAAAATTTTTAGATATATACTATAATAATTCAAGTGTAGTGATCAGATTGCTATTCTTTAAATGACAAGTTTAATATACAAATCTTGTTTATAATAAATTTGAAAATTATATTTGTGTTATAGTAATTGTATTTTGTCAATTAGTTATTTTATATAACTATAATTCAAATATATCAAATCTAGCAACTTGAAAGCTCTAATATTTATACAAAATACATATTTAGAGAAATATTTACTAGTATTAAATAAAACTTTAATACAAACCTATAATAAAATCACTAAATATTAAAGACTAAAGAACTAAAAAGACAAAAACACTTAAAAATTTTTAAATAAAAAGGTAGTATGAACTTTCAATAGTATTATTAAACTAATTAAAGTTTATAAATTATTATTAAAAAAACAGATTAAATAAACTAAATAACAAATATATATAGAAAAATATATAACTAATTAGGCTACTAAATTCATCAAAGAAAAAAAATACAAAAGTATATTATATTGGGCTATCTGAATTGGTAGTCTAAGAAGTTTGTTAGTTTTAAATAACAGTCAGTAGAGAATAATAAAAAAGGTATTATAAATATAAATACTAAAGTTTTAGTAAATTTGTAAAAATAGAAATAAAATAATAATAGCAGTTTAACAAATAACTGTGACTGCAAATATTAGCCAAACTATATTATATAATATTTGTTACTACCTTAAAAATTTTTACAGTGTTTTCTTGTTTCAAAATTAATATCATTTTATATAGTTCTAAGAAGTTAATAGTAATGCTTTTTTAAAAAGCTTTTGTTAATTTTATTTATACTATTGTAAATATTTAAATTTTTGCATATTATTAAAAATATTAAAATTATAAACCAGTATTTAATAATAAAAAGCTAAAATATTTACTATATATTTAACAAGTTTATGATTTCTTGTTTAAATAAAAGCTGTATAAGTTGCATAATCAAATAGTAGTTTTGCTAAATGGATTTAAAAGTACTTTGTTTTTAGTTTCTAATTTCTAAAGATACATTTTTCTAGGTCTTTTATCTGCTATATAAGCTAATAATTCACTACATAATATTGGCATAATGATTCTATACTAGTGATGATTATAAATCATAAGATATTTTTTAAGAAAATTGATATTTTCACATTCTTTTTTGATATTGCCCTGTTAATAATATAATTATTAAGATTTTGTTTAAGTTTAAAGTTAACAGAAGGGTGTGGCGACTTAGTGAAGTAGATAAGTTGTCATACCCTCAAGTGGTAGGTTGTGAGTTCAAAACTCACTAATGCTGAAATTTGGATAATCACCTATGTAATATATAGACAGTATTACGGCGACAGCATTCTGTCGATCAGTTGGGATAGGATACCTGTAACTATAGTCACACCAGCATGACTGGCAGGTCTGGGGCATCTGTGTAACCTGTTACACAGAGGAATGCAAACTGGTACCAGGTGATGCAAACCTAAAATAAGTCTTTGAGCTGTGTAAATCTGTAGAACTGGGAAGCTGGAACCCACTTAAAAATTCTGAGCAGAGAGATAACATGGATCTTCAACAGTACTACTGTAAAGGCTAGACCTAGGAAATGGATACCAATGTGAAGGATTCAGGCAGGCAAGAACTTTGGGTGAGGGGTACCATCAACCAGGCTATCAGATTTCAGACCAGAGAAAAAGAATATTGGGTTGGCCTCAATATATCAAGGACAGATCACAGTCCTTCCAGGCTATCTGGATTGGGAGTCTGGATTTAAAGCAGAGGTATACTAAAAGTACTAGGGATATACTGTAAAGTCAGTACTGGGATTTAGGTGAACTCTATAAGGATAACCCATGTTAGTGTTCTAAAAGTGAGTAGATAGTTAACTATAGGAAGCCCCCTGTGCCTTATTAACAAGTGATGTACTCTGAAATGTGTAACAATCTGGGAACCAGTACAAAAAGGGTAGGTACCATACTGCTCAGATGGTATACCAGGTAGGTATATACAGGAGGTTAGTTTGGAGATTCCAATATGACAGGGCAGATGATCAGAGGGTTTAAATGGATAATCTCCTAGTAGGTTATAGGTATGACATCTAGTGTAGAACCTTAGGACGAACTACTTAAATAGGCAACCAAAAGTTACACATGTGACTAGCTGTACTCTTATCTCTGTAAAAAATAGTTGTAATAGCTAACCCAATATAAAGTCAATAAAATATTGCCACAAGTATGACCTTAGCAAAAAAAAAAAAAAAAGTTAACAGAAGTGTGGCAATATCAAAAAAGGGTGTGAAAATATCAATTCTTTTTTAAAAAGCATTTATGTGAATGTGTAATCATTTTGAAGAAGTTAATGTAGCATGAATCATAATTTTTATATTTATACTATTAAAACTCTACATTGTGTTTATGCACAATAAAAGCATTTTGGTAAACTCACTGATACGAGTACACAAACATGTGAGTGCTACCAAGGGAAACAGAGTTTTATGATTTTGAATCTATAATGGACTCAGCCCTGCAAAATCTGTCTAGTTGACACGGACGTACAGATGTGCGCAATTGTCAGCTATTAAAGTCTACTCTCATTATTTAGTAGAATGTAGTTTAACGTTACACAACTTATAAAATTTTTTTTATATTATTTTAAAGTACTTCGATTATCTTGTATTACCCACGTGCGTTATAAGATAATCGCCAATAAGTTACTAGGAAACTTGATGTTTTCATAGTGTATAAAACAATACCTGTTGAATCCCTCTGAATCCCAAGGCCTTAAGTTTCTGCTTCAAATAAAAGATAGTAAGAAATGCATAGAATATTAAACGGTTAGTTTTATAAAATTTCACTAGTTTTGTGGTGAAAAGCATTAAGAAATCAAAGTTAAAGGTTTGGTAAAAGAATCATAGAGTGAAGGTATTGTGCTTTTATTACTTGCTTTATGAAATATGCGAAAAATTTTAGTTATATTAGTTATTTATAAGCGATAAACAATTCAACAATTAAATAAGAAATTTAGTGCAAGCTTTGATCTAAGCTTTGATCTTAAAATATGTATAATGTTTTTTTATACTAGGTATTCGATAAAATAGTTTTGTACGGTGATGTATATTCAGATTGATAAACGAAAATTATACGTATTAATTTTGGTTTGGGGAAATTGTTTTTTAAAGGTATAATGTATTATTATGATCCTTACATGTTAATCCTGATTTAAGTTTTTTTTTTTATTAACTATATATTGTATTATATTATTTAATTCTAAATATTATATATTAATTTAGCTTTAGAATTTGCGATTCGGTATATATATGTGTAAATAAATATAAGTGGTATTTTATGATAATAATATGAACAAAAAAAAATTTAATTCGCTAAAGGTTCGGTGACGATTGAAATAGAATTATTATTTAAAATATATGGCAATAATTAAAAAATAAAGCTTTATTATACACGTAGCAATAAATCGTTTATTTGAATATTAATTATTTTGGTTGATTTGATTGGCTGATGGTCATGTTTTGATCGACGTAATTGCTGACTCAGGATAACCAATCATTTTAACTGTCTCTCGTTATTATGTAGTGATCGGGCTAAGAAATTCAGCCTGTTATAATGAATTTCCGTTATAACATTATATAATATAATAATAAAGTTTTAAATTGTTCTAGAGAATTACTCCGTTACAGCGAGGTATCCGTTATAATGGAGTCCTTTACAATGAGGGCTATACATATCATTTTATCACCAATCTGAAATTCGAGATACTTTTCACAGTTCAAAATTTGTATATTAAAACTCGAAATTATTACTTTTGTTATGAATTTCTCTTGAATATTATATAATTAACGCAGAATAAAGGATATGTACATAGTGATGGATTAAATCTTATGGGAATAATTAAAAAAAAAAACTCGATTCTTAATAAAATTTTAAATCTGTATCCTACTGATCCGGCGTCATATATATTAGCGTTAGGGTTAGAAAGTATAGCAGATTAGTATGGTATGGTTTTTGAAATAGGTGTAGAGTATATTAATTTGCTTAAATAACATATTATAACGAAGTTATACAGTAACTACCGTTACTGTTATCTTGCTCAAACAGTTATACAATTCAAATGGTCTCGCTTGACACTGTTGTCCTCGTTCAAAGCACTTTTACAGGTTAATATTTAACACTAAACGTTCATCATTATTATTATTTTACTGTATTCAAAATAATAAAATAACAAATTTATTTAAACATGCCCCCATGCACTTAGTGCACCCAAATAATTAAATAAGACGGTATAAGGTTTTTTAAGACAAATATAACTTTAATATTAGGTTAAGGGTAAAGTTTAAATGTTAAAATAAAGTATAATTCGTAATAAGATTTCACAAGTGCATGGAGTATCATATAAACTACTTCTAAAATAATTGGTATTCTGTCGCGCTCTACAACCTACTCATTGGACTTTCACTTTTATATATGAGTTTATCCAACTTATCGACACATGTACGCATCTGATTCATAGTAGCTCCTATGAGAATGTTAGCATATTCTTTGTCGTGAGGTTCGTACTTGAACTTATCCACGAAAGTCATGCCTATCTTCTGATAGAAGTTCAGCGCAAACTCATACGGTGGAGCGCCGAACATGCACATATTGTTGTTGATGCAGTAGCTCATTACGCCTCGCACCAACTTCGTGTGGAGATTGTTGCTCCTGTACCGCTTCTCTATTGCTACCCTAGAGAATTCCACTAGGTTTGGAATCTTGTCGAGAAACGAGAGATCTACTCCAGTGTCGTACTCCTGTATTTCGAACTTTCCGTTCACTCTTCTGCAAATTCTGCCCGTACCTATAAGCCTATCTTTACAGAACAAACCAAACACTGTCGCAATATAGCTGCGATTGTCTATGAGTCTTCCATCTTTTACCCTCAATCCTGCGGGATTGTTCTTACTAAACCACCATCCTTGTTCCTCCACGTAGACTCTATACAGAAGCTTCTGGGAGTCCTCTAGGTAGCTCTCGTTTTCAATCACACGGATCTCATACATGATGCATACACCTTTCCTGACTAAAATAAAATAAAATAAATCATTTCAGCGGTTTCAAAGGTAAAACACGTTTATTTGTTGCTTGATATATAAGTGATTGTAACCTTCTATTATATATTAAATAAATTCGATTTTATATTCTTCGTTATAACGTTCACCCAGCTTGTGCTATTAAGTTATTGATTTCCACTACGTCTATAGTCCTTATGGTTCCTTACAGCTTTTACTATGGTAAGTTCCTCTCTTATACCAAGAACTAAGTATTGATATTTTGCATGAGTTTAAAATACTGTTTTTAGTACAATAAAAAAAAAAAACCTATTCCTATAATATTATTTACAATAATTTTGTTAAATTTCCTTATCGGGTAATATTTGTTAATTATTGCATTTAATGATTCTTGATACGTACATACGTACAAAAAGGGCATTGTTTGTAAAGTTTCCTGATATAGTTAGTCTTTTATTAGGCGTAGTAATTGATATTTGATTGGAATATCGTGATCATCAAAAATTAAGTGATACATACAATAAAATATTAATAAGCAAGTATACAATTAACCAATCAAATACAATAAATGTTTAATCATGACTCGGAATCATTTTATATTTTTAATACCGGCAATTTCCGGACTGTAGATATTTCGTGCCGTATTTCTTTTTGGATGTGCTGTATTGTACTTAAGTGTACTATATTATACACTAGGGTATCCAGCTTACTGCCTGCACAGAATCTGCATAAATATGTACAAAAATTCTGCTGATTCTGCTTAAAAAAAGCAGAATAAGCAGAATCATCGTTATTGGTTATAGATGTCTAAATATAGTAATTAGTATAAATATTGTTCACTAATTTTTATATTAAATGAACCAAAATTTCTTTGACATTGAACTAGTAAAATTGATAAGTAATGTATTTTTATATTATTTAAAATTAGTAAATTACTTGAGCGAAGCTAATTCATATTCATGTTTTATCATAATTGTATATTAATAAATTCAAATTTTGATAATTTTTTGGTAAAATGATTACTGATAAATATCTTTTTAACAAATATTCAGACTATCAACAAGAATTTTATTTTGATAAAAAAAATTAATTTGTATTGCTTGTAAACATATTGTAAATGCAAATAAAAAATCTATTGTAGATAATCATTTAAAATCCAAAGCACATTATAATAATAATCAAAAAATAAAAAATTATAAAGAATCTTTACAAACAACCTTATTAAATTTATCTTAAAAGCAAGAAATTAATTTTGATCTTATTAAAGTATTTGCTACTGCTGATATACAACTTGAAAAAGTAAAAAAACTTTGTACTTTTTTCTTAAACCATTACAAAAATAGTAATTTATTTTAAGTATTGTATATTTTAATATTAATTTAAATTGTATTTAATTAATTTTATATTATAGAATATGTAATAGTTAATGCTAATCAATTAAGAAAATATTACTTATTAATTGTACATAAAATAAAAATTAATAAATTAAAAAATAATTTAGTAAAAAAGTATATTTTTATTACAGTAAATAAAACTTCAAATAATTGTAACTGTAATATAGTTAATATACTATTTAGTTACAAAAATAATACTATGTTAGTCAAAACATCTTTTCTTAATACTGTTAATTATAATATAATTTTTAAAGTAATTCTTAATATAATTTTTTTATATATTATTTCTTATAAATATTTATTTTTTTTATTACTAATAATGTAAGCTATATAATTAAAGCATTTAATAGTATTCTTTTTTTTCAATATTTATTTATTTTTTTTTAATGTTAATAGTGAGGCCATGCCTTTATCTTTATTGAATATTTAACTGAGATTTTACATAAAGTTTAAATCTACTTTTAAAATATTATAGTAATTTTTTCAATATTTATCTTATATTATAATACTTATTTAACATATATTTTTAACTTAGTTGATAAAACTTGTGTTAATTTTTTTTTAAAAAAAAACAAGTAGTCATTTGCTTAGGCAAACTGACAATTTTTATTATTATTTTTTTGTTTTTAGTATTAAGATAACCTCTTTGGTCTTTTGACTTTTATTATTTACTTATCAGTATTGTGATTCAATGAACTATTACAGAAGAGTGTACAATTGGTTACATGTGTAATTTTCCTATATTACCTATTTAAGAAGTTTGCTCAAAAGTTCCCTACTAATTGCTATACCTAATACTCCTGCTTGGATGTTTTACTTTAAATCCTCTAAACTTATAACTTGTATTAGCTCACTAGATTATTTCAGATGTTCAAATCATTATTACAATCTTAGGACTAATTTATTCTTGAAATAAACTCTTTAAAGCCTTCTGTACTTATTTTTATAGCTAACCTAAATATTTGCTATAATAAAACCAACACTTGCAGTTAGGGTTTAACCATTAAACCACTATACTTTTGTAGAGTTTACTTAGACCTTAGTATCTATTTCACAGCATAATTTTGGTACTTTAATATATCTCTGAATTTCATTAGACTCTCAATCCAGAAGGCCTATATAAGACTATAATCAGTACATTAATATATTAGATCAGCCTAATATTCTTTTTTTCAGTTTATTCTAGTGGCCTGGTTGGTAATACCTCTGAGACTCCTAATCTGAAGGTTCTTGCCTGTCTGATTACTAAGACCTAAATATCTGTTTTTCTAGTTTAGTCTTTACAGTAGTACTATTAAAAATCTAGCTACTTCTCTATTTAGATCTTTCCAAATAGACTTTTTGTTACCTAATTTCAATAGATTTACATAGTCACAAAGACTTATCTAGTGTTTATATTGTCCAATTTGTTGGTTTGCATTTTTCTGTGTAAATCCAATATTGCACAGATATTCATAACCTACTAGTTATGCTGATATGACTGCTATTACAGGTATTCTAACCCAATTATTAGTAAAAGTTGTCATAATATGAATATTACATAGCTGATTATCCAAATTTTCACTGTTAATGAGATTTGAATACTAAACTTATCACTGAAAGGTTGACAACCTAACTACTTTACTAGGTTACTATACCCTTACAACTTTTATTATTTAGTAATATATTAAATATATAGTTTATGAAAATATAATTAGTTATATGTACAACTTTAGTAATTGTCTATTTAAAAATTTTGCTATATTTGATTTTTATTTGTAAATACTCTATTTAAATTTTCTGGCTTATTTAATCAGTACTTATATAATTTTAATTATTTCACTCTAAGTTAAATGATCCTATTGTTGCTTTCTATTGAAGACTATCTAGATTTAATTTTATTTTTTTTTATACTAATACTTAAGTTATAACAAAACATATTATTTAACAATAAAACACAAAGGAACTTTTGTTAATTTACCTACCTATTCTACAGATCTTAATAGAACTTTGCTCTTACAAAATTTATCTAAATCTTAGTATTACTTTACATCATATTTCTAATATTTTAATATATCTTTGCTTTTGTTTTCTAACTTTTAATTTAAATAGTTTGTATATGACTATAACTAGTCTATTAGTATATTAGATTAACTTAATATTTTTTTAATTTTTTCAGTTAGAATTTTAGTTGTCTAATTAATAATACCTTTTACTCAAAGATTTTTGCTTATTTAGTTTCTTTATATTAGTATTTGTTTCTTAAATTTAGCCTTTACAATAGTATTATTAAAGATCTGTATTATTTTTTTACTCAAATAATTTTAAATAGCTTTTTGTTTTCTGATTTTAATAAATTTACATAACTACAAAAACTTATTTTGGGTTTGCATTATCTGATAACATTTTGCATTCTTCTATATAACCAGTTACATAGATATTTTATAATCTACCAGTCATTAGTATAACTATTATTACAGATATTTTAATCTAATTATTAAAAACAATTGCTATAATACAAATGAAATTCAAATTTTTTATTAATAGAAATGATAACTTGTTCACTTTACTAAGTCACTATACTTTAACTTGAATTAATTTTGAAAAGTTCAATTTATTTAATTAATTTGTTAAAAATTTTAAAACTATATTTTCAAATTTAATAATAAAAAAAAAATAGTTTTTATATATAAATTTAAATATAGTTGGTCTTTTTAAAACTAATCTTATCAAAGCTAATAATCTGTCAAATCTGATAAAAAATTAATCTATCAAGTCTGTTTCTATTATATAAATTTAATAGTTTGCTATATTTTAAACTGCTAATCTTTTAAAACTAATATAAAACCTGTTTATCATATATACTAATTTTAAGAAAATTAACTATATCTATAATTTAAAAATTATACTTTTATCTTTGACTGTTAAAACAAAATAGAATTTTTAATTTAGATTTATTAATTAAACAATCTTTTATATTAAATATTTTATATAATAATACTATAATTTCTTTATAATTTTTTTTCATTATTTTTCTAAGTCTTTTTCTAATAACATGCTAATTACTATAATTAATTTAGCTATATTTAGTTTATCAGTTTATAAAATATAATTAATATTAATTTAGCAAATATAATATAGATAGATAAGTATTATTATAACTTATTTATTTCACTCTATAGTGCAATATTGCTTATTAATAATGTAATTAATATGTGTATTAATGATTGACTTTAATTTGTAATGATTTACATTTATTTTTTATTTTTATTTTTATTTATTATTAATTATATGCCAGAATTTTTAGATAGATTAGTAAAACTTATAAATGAACTAAGCTTCTATTTTTAATATACTTTTATTTTTATATTTATATATTTTTAAAAATTATTTAAATCTAATAAGATTTTTTTAATAAAATTTAAGTATTTTTATTAGCAAAATTATATACAAAAGTATTTTAAATAACAAATTCTTTACAACTTAATAGTAACAAAAAACTTATTATCATAATTTTTTTTTTGACAGCCTTGCTGTAAACCTTTATTAAGATTCTTGTATCTAAGTTATATACATTTTTAACTTTAAATTTCTGGTTCAACATTCTTTAGCTACTTC